TTAAAATAGCCGTTAAATCGTGATTTTTCGTTTATAACCGTTGAAAAGCTTTGTCCCGTTACTTGATCTCTGAATGTTTTTTTTTTTGTGATTTTTTGCTGATGTGATCTCCAAGCATATACAAACAATTTTGACGGTTTGGATCGTTGAAATTAGTTTTGGAGAATTCGTAAAATGATAGATTGACTAACACTTAGAGTTTATTTATACTTTTGTTAAGTATAACATAAGATTTTGTGGTATTCACTTGTGTAAATATTTTAAATTGAAGATCGAATTCATTCATTGTATTCATATAGGGTCAAGGAGTGTAGTTATAAAAAAATTATCAAAATCGGAGTTAAAATAACCGTTAAATCGTGATTTTTCGTTTATAACCGCTGAAAATCTTTGTCCCGTTACTTGATCTCTGAATGTTTTTTTTTTGTGATTTTTTGCTGATGTGATCTCCAAGCATATACAAACAATTTTGACGGTTTGGATCGTTGAAATTAGTTTTGGAGAATTCGTAAAACGATAGATTGACTAACACTTAGAGTTTATTTATACTTTCATTAAGTATAACATAAGATTTTGTAGTATCCACTTGTGTAAATATTTTAAATTGAAGATCGAATTCATTCATTGTATTCATATAGGATCAAGGAGTGTAGTTATAAAAAACCATCAAAATCGGAGTTAAAATAACCGTTAAATCATGATTTTTCGTTTATAACCGTTGAAAAGCTTTGTCCCGTTACTTGATCTTTGAATGTTTTTTTTTTGTGATTTTTTTGCTGATGTGATCTCCAAACATATACAAACAATTTTGACGGTTTGGATCGTTGAAATTAGTTTTGGAGAATTCGTAAAACAATAGATTGGCTAACACTTAGAGTTTATTTATACTTTTATTAAGTATAACATAAGATTTTGTGGTATTCACTTGTGTAAATATTTTAAATTGAAGATCGAATTCGTTCATTGTATTCATATAGGGTCAAGGAGTGTAGTTATAAAAAATCATCAAAATCGGAGTTAAAATAACCGTTAAATCGTGATTTTTCGTTTATAACCGTTGAAAAGCTTTGTCCCGTTACTTGATCTCTGAATGTTTTTTTTTTGTGATTTTTTGCTGATGTGATCTCCAAGCATATACAAACAATTTTTACGGTTTGGATCGTTGAAATTAGTTTTGGAGAATTCGTAAAACGATAGATTGACTAACACTTAGAGTTTATTTATACTTTCATTAAGTATAACATAAGATTTTGTGGTATCCACTTGTGTAAATATTTTAAATTGAAGATCGAATTCATTCATTGTATTCATATAGGGTCAAGGAGTGTAGTTATAAAAATCATCAAAATCGGAGTTAAAATAACCGTTAAATCGTGATTTTTCGTTTATAACCGTTGAAAAGCTTTGTCTCGTTACTTGATCTCTGAATGTTTTTTTTTTGTGATTTTTTTTTGATGTGATCTCCAAGCATATACAAACAATTTTGACGATTTGGATCGTTGAAATTAGTTTTGGAGAATTCGTAAAACGATAGATTGACTAACACTTAGAGTTTATTTATACTTTCATTAAGTATAACATAAGATTTTGTGGTATCCACTTGTGTAAATATTTTAAATTTAAGATCGAATTCATTCATTGTATTCATATAGGGTCAAGGAGTGTAGTTATAAAAAATCATCAAAATCGGAGTTAAAATAACCGTTAAATCGTGATTTTTCGTTTATAACCGTTGAAAAGCTTTGTCCCGTTACTTGATCTCTGAATGTTTATTTTTTATGATTTTTTGCTGATGTGATCTCAAAGCATATACAAACAAGTTTGACGGTTGGGATCGTTGAAATTAGTTTTGGAGAATTCGTAGCCATCAATCAAGTTCCGTGTGTGTGTGTGTGTGTGTATAACTATATATATATATATATTTATTAAGTAGATTTAAATCTATTTATTTTGTACGTATAAATTATAATTGACTGGTACACGGAATAGTACATACATCACGTGTCACGTGTGTCATTATAAAAATAGTGAGATATGTCATGACAATCATGTGTGTGATAAAAAGTTAATAACTTAAAAAAAAAAAAAATTTCGCATCACTTCTATTAATTTTCATTTTTCCCTCTCTTGTGTGTTGCCTTTTCAACTTTGTCTTATCATTTTCACTTTTCCCTCCAACATCTTTCCCTAATTCCCTCACTTTTTTGTTTTATTTTCAACTTTTCTTAACATTTTCATTTTCCCTCCATTTTTTTTTTCAAAAAGGACGGCAAGTTGGCAATGACAAGAAATTGATTATTGAAATTTGAATGGAAACAAATCACGTCAAATTTCAATGGATGCAAAATCATGCAATGCATCATGCATATTAAATTATTAATTAATAATTATTATAGTTTTTATAAAATTTAATATATATATATATATATAATTATTATAGATAGACTTAATATTTTGGGGGTATAATTATTATAGTATATATAATTATTATAATTATTATAAATTTTATAGTTAATTTAATATATATATATATATATGTATATATATTTATTATAATTTTTAGGGGTATAAAATTGTAAAATTAATGTATATAATTATTACAGTATTTTTTTAGGGTTATAAAATTATAAAAATAATATTCTGCTTATCGTGTATCGTGTTACCCACGTGTATACTCGAACCAACCCGTTATCTTAACAGGTGCTTATCGGGTTACCCGATAACGACCCGATTCGTTATCGTGTCGACCCAAACACTTGTTAATTTCGTGTCGTGTCGTGTCGGGTTATCGGGTCGTGTCAGAAATTGCCAGGTCTACTTTCAAGTACATTAACAATATTGTACTAATGAATCCTAGCTATTTAGTTTAATATATTTCAATTGAAATAGTTTGTCATACTAATTAATATTTAAGATAAAGTTTATAAATATTTTTCTCTTAAAAATAAAGTATATTTAGTAATTCATCTTTATTTGTTGGGAAAATTAAATTAATAGCACATCTAGTATTATACCCCTTTTGGTCATTTCACATAGTCATTGCTATTTTACATAAAAGTTTACCAAACACTATCATACTGTTCTTTTTTTTTTTTTTTTTTTTTTTTTTTTCAAAATCACTTTTACAAAAAAACACTTTGTTGCTTTATTTCACAGCACAGTGGAAACAATTTTTTTTTTCAAAGCACAACAATACCAAACCAGCCCTACATCTCTTTTTACTGTTTTATTTCAACAACCTCTCTCTCTCTCTCTCTCTCTCTCTCTCTCTTGTTGTTCGCTCAAAAAAAGACTTTTAAGGTACTACTTTGGTACTGAGATGATTTGTAATTTGGGTATTCATACATGGCGATTTGTTGTCAATTTCTGTAATTGTTCCGTCGTTCTTATTTCAGTTCACTTAATTTTTATACAGCTCAAAAAAGTGCGGGCAGAGATTGGAGAACTCTCTAAGCATCTGGGGTTGATCATCAGGAGATTGTATCCATTGCAGAACCTCTTCTCTCTGGCCTACCGAGAGTGCTATGAGGAGCCACCATCCAAATATGTCGGAGGAGAGTTCCGTTATCAAGCTGATACACCGGTTCGTATTTTTGTCCATTCAAAAGTTGTTTCTCCTTTCCTTCGTTTTCTCCTCATTGTCTGATACAAAAATATAGGAAATTTTCATGTAAATTATTTAATTTTGTTACTAACATGCTAACTGCTATACTCCTCATCGTCCAGGAAACACCCGTAGCCCTTGCTTTTGAGAGGATGCCTTCTGCTGGGTTCCGAGCTATTCGCCGTTGGCAATTGTCGAAATAAAATTTTGAAAGGATTAATTTGATCCAAATTACATATACCAGGATTTGTTTTGGCAAATATTATTTCTTTTCTAAGCTGTTTTGGTGTACAGGGGGTTCTGCACCCTCCAAAAAGCAACCTAACAACAAGAACAAAACTTCTCGTCGTTTTTTTCAAGGGATGTGCGGTTTTTTTTTTTAATTTCAAGGGATGTGCGGTTTTTTATTTTTTTCTTTTTTCATGACACATAAATCAAGCTTCTCGTCGCTTTTATTTCAAATAAGTGAACACGTTATATTTTTTTATGAGTTATTTAATTTGGACTTTTTCTTTGGTGTTTATGATCGGAAAGAATTAGATAACTCATAGAATTTACGGTAGACCTAGGTCCTAAGATAGAGATAAATGTTGTGAAATTTAGTCTTAGGGAGAGAAGTTTTTTCTTTTTGCATGTAAAGTTTTGTTGGATCAAAACGTTTATATATAGAGAGAGATGTTTGTAACCTCATAACAACACACAAGATCAAGAGTGAAAGTAATAATATCAATATTCCTCCTCTTTTTGCCTGCATCCGTTTAATTTCTATTTCTAACAAAAGTTATTTCTCTCTTATTTATCCCTATTATAACAATAAAGTGCTGATAAATAAATAAATAAATAAATAAAGTGATTTTTCACCATACCAATATTAGAGGAATCTGCGCTACAACTTGATGAAAACACTAATGTGGAGTGCGCAAAAGCACTCTGTGTACGACGTCGTTTGCTTATTAACAAAACACAGTTTAACCAGTGCAAACCAGTCCACTGCTCTTTCTAACGGTAACATTCGAATACCAAACAAACACTAACCACCACCGCTACCGCCACCACCTGAGACTCCTCCGCCTCACTAAACCCACGCCCTCAACCACCACGTGCCGCCACTATGCCACAAAGTACACCGCCAAAATAACCTCAACCTCCCCAACCGGCCTTTCCCTCTCGGCCGAGGTAACCCCGCCGCCGCCCCTCCCCACCGACATCCGTGGCTACGCTCTCCCGCGGCGCGACCTCGTCTGCAAAGCCACCCAAATCCTCCTCGGCCGCCAATCCCCTTCCGCCATGTTATCAGACCCCTTCTCGGACCTCTCTGGCTACCTCACCTCCCTCTCCCTCCACATCACCCCGTCCGAAGCCACCGAAATCCTGAAATCGGTAACCTGCCCCCCGACCTCTCCGGCAGATTCTTCCGATTTTGCCCCTCGCTCTCCCCTAATTTCCACCACGACGCCTTCACCTGCAACCGAATCCTCCTCATCCTCTCTCCAAGTCCACCTCCCCCGCCCGGTTCGACCTAGTCCGGTCGATCCTCCGCGACATGGACCGCTCCAGCATACGTGGCAACATCTCCACCGTCAACATCCTCATCGGCCTGTTCGGCAGCACCGAAGACTTGGAAACCTCTATTGGGTTGGTGAAGAAATGGAATCTCAACATGAACAGCTACACTTACAAGTGCTTGCTTCAGGCCTTCCTGCGCTCTCGCGATTCCGGCAAAGCTTTCGATACTTACATCGACATGCGTCGGCGGGGTAACAAGCTCGACATTTTTGCCTACAACATGCTTCTGGATGCGTTGGCGAAAGACGAAAAGGTTTGAATTTTGATTGAATTGAATGCAATGTGACATTGTGGTTGCGCTCACATGTTCGATTTCGATGTGGGTTTTTGTGGGTTTCTGATTTTCTGATTTGCAGCAGAAATTTGGCAGGTTGAGGATGCACGCAAGGTGTTTGATGATATGAAGAAGAAGCATTGCGAGCCACGTACACGATTATGATCAGAATGGTTGGGAAATTGGGTAAGGGCGATGAGTGTCTCGGGTTGTTTCAGGAGATTGTGAACAAGGGTTGCTCTCCGAATATGATGCTGTATAATACTATGATTCAGGCTCTTGCTCGGAGCAAGATGGTTGACAAGGCCATCATTGTGTTCTTGAAAATGGTACAGAACAATTGCCGGCCTAATGAATTTACGTAGAGTGTGGTTTTGAATCTTTTGGTTGCAGAAGGGCAGCTGGGTAGGTTTGATGAGGTGGTGGGGATGTCGAAGAAGTACATGACGAAGTCGATATATGCATATCTTGTGAGGACATTGAGTAAATTGGGTCATGCCGGGGAAGCTCACAGTTTGTTCTGCAACATGTGGAGCTTCCATGACATGGGGGATCGGGATGCATATACTTCAATGTTGGGGAGTTTATGCAGTGCATGTCTTGTATTTCAGATTTGATGTCTCAATGTCTATCAGAATTGAACTTTACGTGGACAATGAACTTGTATCGTTGCCTTCCGTAGTCCTCTTATTTCAGAAGCCGTCTCAATTTTAAACGAACTCTCTGAAATTCAACTCGTGTCTCCACGATGCTTTGGCTGCAAAGAAAACAACGGCTCACTTCATAAGACAACTCAAATATTACCTGAGTTCGCAAATAAATCCAGTCAAAGTCTAGTACAAAATGTCGACTGGAAGCAAGGAAGGATCAGAAACAAATCGAATAGCTCCGGATGTTTTCTCACACCACAAAATCTACAAAATTCTTCTACCACTCATCGTCTATCACAAGCTACACTTGAAATGCCATACGAGTGGATCTCAATAAGTTATTGCAGTAAACCATACTTTTAAGTTCCAAACAAAACTGCGCAGAAAGCCAAGCTCGGAGTACCTGATCAACGCTTGACCCACTGGAAGCTCTTCCTTGCTTTTGCTTTTCCGGGTTTTTTCCTTTCCACCACACGCGAGTCCCTTGTCAAGAAACCAGCTGGAAACACAAACAAGTTGCTGGGTTAGCAAGGAAGGGGCAGATAGATATTGCCAGGTTAAGATCTGTTTCCCCTTATAAGCCAGAAATAACGAGCGGACAAAGGGGAAGAGAAATATTTACATTCTTTGAGAGCAGGACGCAAGTCCGGTTCCCAATTTTGCAAGGCTCTGCTCACTCCTAATTGAATTGCTCGAACTTGACCTGGAAAAAAACACCTTTTTAATTTTCCATATTTAACACAAACAAAAACGTTTATGCAAAGAATTAACATACCGAACATATTAAACATTGTTCTTTAAAAAGGAGTTACTGTTGGGAGTAACAATTTGCACACAGAGTATTTTTGTACTCAACTACAATATAGGAAGAAGAGCCAGCATCAAAAAGCACGAAACAATCTTTAGAAATTACAATCAATTCGTATTTAATTCTGTCGAGATGTTGGCTCCGATTTTCTTATCTTTTCCTCTGCTCTGTTTCAGTTTAATTACTTGATGTGAAATGAAAATCTAACCACAATTAATTCACCCTAACAACCTAGGAAGAAAAGGACACTCGCATTCATTTGACTTCATGAGAGCAGGGGAAGAAAAGCTTGACTAACATACGGAACTGGGCAGAAATTTGGTTTCCATGAGAGCTTGGCAGTGCGGGTAGTAAGTAGCGAGGCAAATTAGTGGTTTTCTAGCATATAAAGCTATAGAATTGCAAGTTCAAGGATAACGGAGGGAAACAGCAGTTGAATTGGATCTCAAACAAGTCGATGTCAAGGAAAAAAGTCAACATATAAATCAAAATAAAGTGCGTAGCAACAAACTTAGGCTTACCTGTGGTGCCGCCTCCTTGAACAGTACAGGCGATGTCCCAAAGGTCCATTGTTTTTGTCTCAGAGAAAGGTCGGAGGAGAGCAGCACGATGATCAAGCATTGGAAAATAGGCGTCAAATTGTTCATCATTAATTGTGAATTTACCATTACCAGGATGAATCCAGACACGTGCTACACTACATTTCCTTCTTCCTGTTCCATAAGCTCTCCCCTTGTCGTCTACTGTTCTCACTCTTGCTTTGGCAACTTCCTCCTGTTTCTGGCGCTCTATTTCAGCTCTCGAGGATTTTCTGGTATTTTTCTCATAACGAATGTCTTCAAGCTCTGATAGAGGGGGCAATCCCTTTATCCCTTGAAAATCCTTCAATGAAATCAAAGTGTCAAGCATTCCATCTGTGATTCCAGATGCACCAATAAAGTCACCAAAGGTACGATTCCGACCTGCAGTTACCATACTGAATCAGTCTAACACCTAAAGAGTCACCTAGCTGATAAATGAATCAGCAACTGCATTCAACTGCATTCAAAACAAAGTACTATTTGAACTATAAAAGTTCGAGAAAGCCGAAGAAATAATCTTATCCCATGTAGAGTGCTTGCAGCTAAACCTAACAAGATACCTGATCATTTTAACTCCTCCCAATAATCAATAAGTAGTGTAGTTCCCAAAATCAAAAGCACAACAATAGACACACCAATATTTTAATGAACTTGCAGACCTCCCAACAACGAAACATACAATTGGTCGGTGCCCAAATCAACCCAAAAGGATTTAGTACAGTACAAGTTGTTCCACTAAGCTATACACCTTCCTACTCTTAAGCATATCAATGATCCAGAATTTAGGAAAAAGAACTAGCCTTTGAGAACAGCAGTAAGCTCCCGCTCCTCTTTCTCAAGCCTCTTAGCCTGTTCAGCCTTGTCAATATCATCTCTACTTGTCTCACTGTTAATGGCAGTAACAGTCTGTACACCCTCTCCGATATTGAACAAGTCACTCTTCTCCTCCTCTCCCAAGCTCCACAGCTTGTACTCCTGAGATGTACTCCACTCCTCGCCTCCTTTCCCCTTCAACCAGTCGGAATCGGCCTCGCTGGACTCAACTTCTGCAATCCCGGAAATGTCCCCGGAGCTCTCGCCGAATAAAGGGTCAAACTTTCCATCGGTTTCCTGAGAAAGCCTCCAAACATCTGATTGGGAGGGACCCTTACCATCGTCATTGGAGAAGAACCTTGGAGTGAAAGTAGCGAAAAGAGGATTTTGGGGTTGGGGGAAGGGATGGAACTTTGGGGAGATTAGGGTTAGGCGAGAGAAATGTGAGGGTTTGGGTAGAAGACGAGAGAGCATGGTGATGAAGCAGAGACTTGACAAATATTTTAGATTTTTGAAATTTAGGGTTTAATAAGCCAAAAGAGTTTGATATCTCAAGGTTTCACAGAACTGACAGAAAAAATACATATAAAAACCCTAACGGTAAATTTGTCAGATAATTATATTTCATTTTTTTAGAAAATTTTATTAGAAAAAAAGGAGATAAAATGTAAAAGAACAAACGTGGAAGACACAAATTCAACTAAGTTCGATGCAAATCAGTTTTCAGAGAAAAAATTAAAAAAAAAAGGGATACAAACTTCCGTGCAAATCAGTTTAAGGTTGAAAACGTTATAAAGGCTTCCAAATAAAAAGGATTTGAGGGTCTCGAGGCATAACTTAGTTGTGCACAATAGAGTTTTTGCAATGAATATTGGTGGTGGTGGTGATGTACTCTTTGTACTTGCAGAGATAGAGAGAGACGAGGGAGGAAAGTAATGAAAAGGGGAGAACGAGAGTCATGATATTCACTGATGGCTATGGTGGAGTTCGCCGGGAAGGTGGTGTGTGGCGATGCCGTTGCACCCTCTCGGTGCTTGCCAAGGAAGAAGGAAGAGAGATGCGGGAGAGATAGAGTGAAGAGAGAGAATGAGGTAGGATGAGGTGGCAGCCAAAGAGATAATTATAGCAGTTGGATTTTCATCCAATGGCAAGTCATTTGATCAGGAGGATCCTCTCCTTGGGCTTAGGAAAGGATCCAAGTCCGTGACGGGGATTTGAAAAAAAGGTGAGAGAGAGTCCCGAGAGGTAGGAAGACAAGGGAGAGAGGTGGAGGAATGGGGCGTGGGCCCCACTGGCTCTCAAAAGAAAAACAGAAAAATATCTCCCGTAACGTGAATTTACCAAAACGTCATTCACGCTCCGATATTTGTAAAATCTTCATCGTAATTCCGAATTCAGTTCCACTTGTACCTACGCGTTTGTACCGTCGAGTACTTTAAGGATACGCTAAAAGGATATTTTGTATGTCTCACTATGCACTGGTCAACAAAAGTCAATAATCTCATATTTAGGGCATTTTCATCAAATCACTCTTTTAAAATTTATAAAATTGTAAAATTAGGGACGAACTGTTTCAATAATTCTTTTAGTTAATTTAACTTGATTTTATTGTTAAATATTTTTTTGTGAACATTATTACCCAAAAAAGTTCAAAATTCTCGAAGCCATTTTTTTTTTCTTTAGAACTACAATAGCTTCATTATTGGCTATATCATGCTTATGTCTTAGTTTATATTATAGCTCATGTCATGACCTATGATTTCTGATCAGAATTAGACTTCGACTCTTTGCAATCCTTGGTCAACTAGATGAGTTATTAATTAAAAATCGTTTGATAATTATTTCATTCTTAATTTTTAATTTTTATTTTTCTGTTTTGAAATTAGTTAAAATATTAAAATAGTCCTTGAAATTGGTATAACTCATTTTAGTTCATAAGATTTGAAATTGCTAGAAGTGAGTTTCTTAACTATTAATCATTTTGATTATTCCGTTAAAAATATTCATTAAATAAGGAACAGATAACAAAAATAATTTCAATTTAATAAACAATAGATCATAATAATTTGATAAAAATTGAGTGTAATTTTGTTTTTTTACAAAATGTTCAAAATAATTTATGACGGAAAAAATCAGAAAATCTCACTTTGAGTGAGGAGTTGCATAACAATTTCAGGAATCAGCTAAGAAGTCAAAAATAAATATAAACAAAAGAAGAAACGAAACTTCTGACGTGGTGGGCTGCGACTTTGACTGATTGAGAGTCCTCCGTCCGCAGCTCCTCCGTCTTCCTCCCAAACCTTTTACCTTTCTTTCGTTCTTCTCCAAAACTAGCAAGCTGAGATTTCAACCTCTCTCTCTCAGAAGCGGCGGCATGCTTTTCCAAACGCAATCTGCAATTTAATCAAAGAGCCACCGAATTTTCTGGCATCCGGTCAACGCAGAGATGCTTCGGATTTTGATCGGTCAACGCCAGCTGCTTACCTGAGCTCCAACAGACCCAAGAGTGATGACGTCCTCCACCTCTGTTTCTGTTTGGCTGATTCTGCTGTTTGGCTTCTTTCACCTCCACTAGGAACCGGAATGAACTAATGAATGAATGAATGACTGGAAACATTCCCGAAGAGCTTGGGGGATGTCAGACTTGGTGAGCTTGGATCTTTACTTGGCAACCTTGCAAAACTGCGTTTCCTGCATGAACCCCCATCCTTTTGTTAGATAAAATCTATCGTCTTTCTTTTTTATTCGATATGCTAATCTGCTGTTTTTAATTGTTCCATTGGAGTGACTTTCTTCCTTAAAGTCCTTGTGCCGGATGCACATAATTTATAGTATGATCCCTGGTTTCAAGATTCACAAGAAAGGAACATCCAATCATTGCAAGTCCCGTGAGTTTCATACTTTCATCTCAGTAAGAGGGAGGAGAGAGTAATATAGCTTGATCAAGTTGGTGTTGTAGTTGTTGTATGGGATGCAGATTTCACTCATCTACTGTCTTTGCAGCTAAGAAGGATCCAGAAGTTCATTTACGACAGCTCAAAAGGTTTTCTTTGCGCGAGCTACAAGTTGCAACGGATACCTTTAGCGACAAAAATATTCTTGGTAGAGGTGGATTTGGTAAGGTTTATAAGGGACGCTTAGCTGATGGAACTCTGGTTGCTTTAAAAAGACTTAAAGAGGAGAAAACCCAAGACGGGGAACTACAGTTCCAAACAGAAGTTGAAATGATTAGCATGGCTGTCCACCGCAATCTGCTTCGTCTGCATGGTTTTTGCATGACACCAACAGAAAGGCTGCTTGTATATCCTTATATGGCTAATGGAAGTGTGGCAGCATGTTTAAGAGGTACTCATTTAAATTGTTTGCTGCGTTGATGAATCTTTTTGTTTTCACGAAATTAAAAATTGTTGGGATTACATTGATAAAGTGAATTTATACACGATCAATTTGGTTTGGAGTATCAGTACTGATGTTTTTTTTTCTGTTCTTTTTTCTCTTCAATTGTAAGTTACCTTCTTGATGTTGATTTTATTTAATGGATAACAAAATGACTCTTTTTTGGGTGGGACGGGTGGCATGATATGTGTTAAACAACATTGACTGTTGCTTGTAATCTAAAATTCTACTCTCATAATTATGTCGATAAATTATTGTAGATCGTCCAGAAGAACAACCTGCACTTGATTGGCCATATAGCACCAGATCAGTACCTTTCAACTGGAAAATACGGAGTCATGCTTCTTGAACTCATCACTGGGCAGAAGGCTTTTGATCTTGCTCGGCTTGCGAATGATGATGATGTCATATTACTTGATTGAGTATGCTTTTACGTCTTTCTGTTTCTGTTTGTAGCTAATTTATTATTATATTTATTTTCCAACAACATTTGCATGAGATCCACCTTCTGATTATATTTTATCATTCTAAATCTTCCATAATATCTTTCATATTTTATATAAAAAAAGACATAATGTTGTGGAAATTCAACGATATTCTTGCTTCAATCTATTGTGTTCCTAAGTCCAAATCTTGGAAATTATGTTTCAATACTCATTTTTAAAGAATTGTTAGGACATAAATTAACAAGGATGTGTGAGAAGTAAAAATGGATGTGTGGATAGCGCACCCCATGTTATATAATATACTGTAAATTAGGTGCATCTCTAGATACCAATGTTACTATTTATTTAAGCCAAAAATAATGGGTCTCCACACCTAATCACTTTATTTCAAACCGCTAATCTCATATGACATTCTTAATCATTGCATATGGAACATTTCTGCAATCATTTTAGTTGGTTCTTTGCAAAGATACTTTAAAAACCTAATACTCATTATAATATACTGTAGATTAGGTGTATCTCTCCATACCAATGTTGCTATTTATTTAAGCTAAAAATAATGGGTCTCGACACCTAATCACTTTATTTCAAACCGCTCATCTCATATGACTTTCTTAATCATAACATTTCTGCAATCATTTTAGTTGGTTCTTTGCAAAGATACTTTAAAAACCTATTACTCATTCTAGAGCTGCCAAGTTCCTGTTTGATTAATGTAAAATCACTTGTCTTTTTTGGCCCGAATGTTGAAAACAGTTAGAATCATGGATCAAAGAAAAGAAATAATACTTAACCTTTAATAAATTACTTTAGTTTAATTACCTTTTATTAGTTAGAGTTACGATTAAGCTGTGAAGATTTATTTATTTTTACTTATAACAATCTAAGGCTTAAATTGTCAGAGATTAATTATTACATTTCCTTGTTAATTGTTGTTAGTATTGTTGTTGCTTCTTTTGCCAATGTATTGGCCTTGCTGTGATTTCTTGAAGAATTTGGCATGTTTTTTTGTATCCATCCTAATTTCCTGGTTATCTGTTTATTCTCGCTATCTTGGCCTCTTGCTTCTTTCTATTCTCAGTTTGCATCTTTGTCATATGTTTGCATCATATCGATATTTGAATGACGATGCATTTTTGTAAGCAATTTGATTTTCTGGAGATACTGCAGCCCTTCAAATTTTGAACATTACAATACATTTTCACTCTCCTAGTTGCCCTCACCTTTTGTTTCAAATTGTAGAACTATCTGACTTTTTCCTTTTTATTTTAACTAAAATAATTAGGTCAAAGGGCTACTGAAAGATCGGAGGTTGGAAACACTTGTTGATGCTGATCTAAATGGAAATTATGTTGACGATCAAGTGGAGCAGCTCATCCAAGTAGCTCTATTGTGCACACAAGGCACCCCAGGGGAACGACCCAAGATGTCAAAGGTTGTCCGGATGCTAGAAGGTGATGGTTTGGCTGAAAGATGGGAAGAGTGGCAAAAAGAGGTGTTCCGCAAAGATTTCAACCCTATTCATCATCCAAGTACTAATTGGATCATAGACTCAACTTATCATATTCCTCTGGATGAGTTGTCCGGTCCCAGATGATATGCTCGTTGGTTCCTTCCCCCTGTATACATGTAAGAAGCCTTTAGAGGACTGGAGAAGGTCCATTTTGTATTTCAGTGATACAACATTTGTGCATATGTTTTGTCTTTGTTTTCGATTTTGTTTTTGTCTCATGTATTCTTTAGATCACAAAAAATGAAAACCGATGTAATTTTTATAGGGTTAATTGTCATTACGAAGTTAAATGGTGCTAGCAAGAAATAGGAAGGGTTATAAAAGCGCCCGTTCCTTATAATTTATGTATGTATCTAGAAATTAGTGCAGACTGTCAAGTAAATAATCATATACGATTAGGACACTAGGTCAAGTGCGCGGGTGCTTGTAGACGGATAGTATTTCAAATTTCATTGTGATCATTTGCAAGTGCGACTTTGTGGCACTACCCTTATAAATACTTGAACTAAGGCAATAGGGGATCTAGAGATCACTTTGTGTCATTCCAACATGGGAATTCGAGCTGTGTCTATCCTCTTTAGAGTATCGTCAATGGGGATCCCTCTACTATCTTTGAGGATGTATTTAAGACTAACTGTAGGGTAAGACCCAAACCTAAATATTTGAGTTTAAACAAAATAAAAATGCAATCTAATTGTGGGGCATTTTTGTTTTTTCGAACAAAAAATATTATCTACACTAAAAGAGTGGTGAATTAGGTTAAGCTTTATAGTGGGTTAGCAATAATATGGTTCAATTTTGCCTTTGCGAGAATCAAACCTAAAGACTGCTCACTTATATGTAAAGAGGAATATCACTAAATCGTAGGACTGGCTAATATCTAATCGTTGGACTTGAACCTAAAAAGTTTGGCTTTTGACACAAGCTAAACCCAAATTTTTGGGGGCCCTACCTTTTTTTTTTTTTGAAAAGCAATAGGCAAATGATTTATTGAAGTGGCCGACAGATGGGTCCCTCAACTAGCAGGGTCCTAGCTACAAAACGGTAACATTTTAAGGAACTAGAAGCCGTTCGATTTTTGGGCCATTGGTGATCAACGGTCTAGGTTAGAATCCTTTTATGCATTGCAATCTTTAGATTTTGATCTAATTGTCCATATTTTTTTTTTCAAATCTAACGGGTAAAATAAATCTAATTGCTGAAATTTAAATTCAATGTCAAAATAATAAAATAATTTTTTTAGAACATATCCACTTTACATTTGGATGGTGTGTGTATTGAAGTTTGGTGGATTGTTTGTATACTGAAGATTGGTTGGTGTATGTATTGAAGTTTGGTTGGTTGGTGTGAATTGTTTGGTTTTGAAAATTTTGCCGAAATTTAATTTCTTTAATAAAACACTTGTCAAATTAAATTAAAATAATATAATTCAAAACTAAAATAAAAAGTAAAAAATAAATCCTATCGAAAAAAAATTAGGGTTAAAACTATATTCCACCACAATTAGTACATTTTAGGTCATGAAATTTAGATCTTGATAGTTGGATGATATTCACTATTCATAGACTTAAATTCTATCTTTTAATGGACTAAATATTTGGGTTTGGGTGTAAGGGTTGGAGGTGGTGTAAAGACTTTAATGAAATCTTTATATAACGAAAAGAGTATTGCCTCATATGAGAAAGTACCTATAGTATAAACCCTAAATATGAAGTTTACATAATTTTATGTGATAATTTCATTGGAAGCTAATTCTTTTATTTAATTTAACTTGATTTGATTGTAAAATATTTTTTGTGAACATTATTACCCAAAAAAAGTTCAAAATTCTCGAAGCCAAATTTTATTCCTTAGCACTACAATAGCTTCATTATTGGCTATGTCATGGTCTATTATTTCTGATCGGAATCAGACTTGGACTCTTTGCAACCTTTGGTCAACTAAATGAGTTATTAATTAAAAGTAACTTGATAATCATTTTGTTTTCAATTTTCAATTTTTAGTTTTTATTTTTCTATCTTAAATTTAACCAAAATTGTTTATGAAATTGGCATAATTCATGACTTTGGCTCCTGAGATTTGAAATTGCTAGAAGTGGTCCCTGAGTTTGTTATTTATCAATCATTTTAGTCATTTCATTAAAAATCTCCATTAAATAAGGAGCAAATGACAAAAATAACCTCAATTCAATAAACAATGGACCATAATAATTTGATGAATATGATTTTATTTTTTTTTACAAAATGATCAAAATAATTGATGGTGGAATCAGAAATCTCACAACAAAGTGAGGAATTGCATAACAATTTCAGGAATCAGCTAAAAAGTCAAAAATAAATATAAATAAAAGAAGAAACGAAACTTCCGACGCGGTGGGCTGCGACTTTGACTGATTGAGAGTCCTCCATCCGCAGCTCCTCCGTCTTACTCCCAAACCTTTTACCTTTCTTTCTTTCTTCCTTCTCCAAAACTAGCAAGCTGAGATTTCAACCTCTCTCTCTAAGAAGCAGCGGCATGCTTTTCCAAACGCAATCTGCAATTTAATCAAACAGCCACCGAATTTTCTGGAATCCGGTCAACGCAGAGATGCTTCGGATTTTGATCGGTCAACGCCAGCTGCTTACCTGAGCTCCAACAGACCCAACAGTGATGACGTCCTCCACCTCTGTTTCTGTTTGGCTGATTCTGCTGTTTGTCTTCTTTCACCTCCATAAGCTCGCTGCCAACGTAGAATGTATGTCTGTGTCTGTGTGTTTTTGAATTTGGGTGTGTTTGGTTGCGGGAATTGGAATGAGCTAATGAATGAATGAATGAATGAATGGATTTGACAGGTGACGCATTGAACGCGTTGAAGACCAATCTAGCTGATCCAAACAATGTTCTGCAGAGTTGGGATCCGACTCTCGTCAATCCCTGCACCTGGTTTCATGTCACTTGTAATAGCGAAAAGAGCGTTACTCGAGTGTAAGCAAACGCAACAAACACCTCCTTTTCAATTCAGTTCAATTCAATTCGATTCAGTTCAGTTCAGTTCAGTTCAATTCAATTCACTTGTAACAGCGGAAATAGCGTTACGCGAAGTTTTTAACATTTTTGCTCCCCCCAGTGATCTTAACAATGCCAATCTCTCTGGTCAACTGGTGCCACAGCTTGGTGTGCTTTCCAAGTTGCAGTACTTGTAAGTGTGTTTTTCGCTCTGATATTTTGTTCGGGTCTTATCCAACTGTTCCATCACTGTGCATTTGAATTGAAATTGGTATCGATACACGACGAATGAATTTCACTACTGCATTTGACATTATTGAAACACTCTTTCTTGATAGGGAACTTTACAATAATAACATAACTGGAAACATTCCGGAAGAGCTTGGGGGTTTGTCGGACTTAGTGAGCATGGATCTTTACTTGAACAATTTACATGGTAGCATTCCAGCGACACTTGGCAACCTTGCAAAACTGCGTTTCCTGTATGAACCCCCATCCTTCTTTATTTTTTATTTGATATGCTAATTATGCTGTTTTTAATTGTTCCGTTGGGGTGACTTTCTTCCTTAAAGTCCATGATAGCGTTTCGGCTCAACCCAATATTGTGGTCAAGGCATAGCTTGAGTTTTGACTTTTTCTAGGAATGGGTCCTAAACAGTAAAGGGCCTTAACACCGGAATATTTACAGAAATACACTAGCAATAGAATTAACGTGATGCCGCGAGTTTTAAAACTTTGTTAAATATGTATAAATATATTAAAATCTAATTGTATCCATATCAAAGAAATATTTATTTACATCCTCATAATGAATAAGGAATATATATATATATATATATATATAGATAGATAGAGAGAGAGAGAGAGAGAGAGAAATTAGGTTTTCATCATTCCTTTTGCTACTCCTTTGACTAAAATCCTATTCATTTTCAAATTTTTATTAAGGTTCTTGGGTATTAATAACATCATTAATTATTTTAATAATAAAATATTTTTTATTTCTAAATATATTCATTTAATGTTAAAAATGTTACAATTAGTATATTTATATTTATACTAAATTTTTATCATATATTTTTAGTTTTAGTTTGTACCCATTTTTAATTTACAACCATTTTTTAATTTGTACCAATTTTATTTTCAGTTTTAATTTGTACCCATATATTAATTTCTTTTTGTGCCCATATTTTTTTAAGTTTTATTTGTATTTGTACCCATATTTTTTTAAAATTTATTTGTACCCATTTTTTATTTTTCCAAATGTACCCATTCATGTAATTTTTTCAAAATTTTAATCTTCAAACGTACTCATTCTTAAATATACCAATTTTTTATATATAAAATGTACCATTTTTTTATATATAAAATCTATTCAGTTTTTTTCTAATCCATTTTTAAACTTATATGGGTACATTCTTTTTTCTTTGATTTTAAAATGTATCCATGTCAAGTTTAATCGAAGAAATTTACTCGTGTTATTAAGCCTAATATCTTAATTTTTTTTTTTGTGATTTTGAAGAATATACCCATGTTTTGATACAATAATTTTTTGGTTAATTTTGGTGTATGTACCCATGTTTTGATACAATAATTTTTTGGTTAATTTTGATGAATGTACCCATGTTTACACACACACACACAATAGTGTATTTATATTTTGAGAACTGTTATTGGCACTCCAAAAATCTCATTATACACTCCTCAAAAATGTATTTTTCTTTCCCAATATGGAAAGTTTAGAGTGTTGAATGAGATTTTTAGAGTGCTAACAATTCCCTATATTTTAATATTTTTAATCCCACAAATTATGGTTTTTTATTTAAAATCTCCTATATATAAACAACTAAAATTTTTAATTTTTAATTTAAAAAATATAGTAACGTACATAGAAATAAATTATCACATTAACTTCAGGAATTTCGATCAAAAATTGAAAACCAACAAGATTTTAATAAAAGAATATTCATAATTAGGGACTGCACCTAAAGTATCCCTATACATATCACATATTAAAATCTGTCTACATCCGTACCAAAGTCTATTTGCATCCTTACGTGTAATAATGAACAAAAGATAGGTATTTGAATAATACATTACATAGAAAAAGTTGTGGATTAAGTTGTTCATACAAATACAATCACATAAAAATATTTTCCATGTCCCAACTCTTCACACTACATTCAGTAATTCACTCTTCTTTCTTCTTTGTTATTTTGTAGATGAGGATGCACATTTTTCCTCAAGTAATCTGTTCAAGATAATACATTGGTTAGGCTTCTGAATCATATGAGCCTTTAACTGGCTAACTAGTTTAGAGTTTCGAAAGATGAATAAAAATTTCAATTCTCACCAAGAAAAAAGAGCCGAGGAAATACAATGGGTTTTGAGGAGAGACGAAGTCTTTACCAGCTAACAAATAAAGTAAATCATATTGTTTAGGAATGACAACGGTTCGGTTTGGGGACGGAAATGCTATATCCATCCCCATAACCATGAAAATTAACCATACCCATAACCGCAAAATAATCATCAGGGATTATCCATAACCATATCCACCGGGTAACGGATTTTCAGTCGGTTATTGGTTATATCCATCTTCGTCAAAAAAAAAAATATATATTCATCCAATTGACGCATTATAAATTTTAGTAGATATTAATTTTGCCATTAAATAGCCACATCCAATTACAAAAAACATAATAATATATATTTGAAGTTGTTCATGATAAGCCAACAAGGTAAATTGGTCCAATAAAAAAGAAAAAGAGGACAAAAACAAATACGAAGGGAAGATAAAACATGTAAACTAAATATATGACAACAAACAAGAAGACAATTATTGATTTAATTTTACATAATTCTATGGGCTCATAACATATGTAATAAACTGAAAAACTGACGCTAATTGATAATTTGCATGAATCAAATAACATGAAAAAGAATGAAAGATTACCTATTGATCTTATAACATGCACTAATTTCTTGAAAGTGAGACTCTTGAAGAAAGATGAATCTAATAAACTTGGAACATTTGATAATTGATATATAAAATGATTCAATGAATTAATTTGGTTGAGTATAACAATAAGAGTATTGAATTGATGAGGTTGTTGGTATGCCCCATGTATGATGTTTGTTGCATAATAAAGAAAATAGAAAATTAAGAACAGCCCAGAATTTCCACTCACCTGCTGTGAAACTCATCCCTGTTGATCAGCAGTAGGAACGAGTAAACTGGGTGACATATACAACTAATTAAAACAATCAACTTTAGCTGCTTCAGCTACATAACAGAAAAAAGTTAATTTAACTATAATTAAGTAATCTGGTTTAAGACTAATAAAAAAAGCTTGGGAATTTCAGCCGTAAAATCACACCTCAAGCGGCAACTCGACAAAGTCTGCGAAATTAGAATGCAAAATGCGATCTTCAGTCTTCCGGCTTCTGTTGCAAAAATTAATCCCACAATCCCCAAAATATTAAAAACTTGAAGTTTGATTTGAAATTAAAAATGCATTCTTTGAAGATAAATTCCAAAAATTCAAAATTATATGCGAGCGAGATACCTTGTTGGTATTCGGAGTTAGAGTGAGGAGTTCTCGAATTGGGAGCGGCGGAGTTCCGTTGCAAATTTTCTTTCCACGGGTGAAGGGTGATTGCGATTTTTTGGCTAGAGGAAATGAGGTTTTAAGATTTTTGGAATTTTGAGAGAATGGATGGTGTGGCTGGTTATGAGACCGAGAAAGAGAAGTCGATGGAAAATGAGGGGTGTTTTCATCCCCTTCGAAAGAAAAAGAAGAAGCAAAAGAGTATGGAAAAGAGGAAAAGAGGAAAAGAGAAAGGAAGCATCGATCACCAACACTACTTTAGCATTTTACTAAAGCGTCCCTTATAATTTGAATAATTATCTGTTGAAAATATAATATCTGCTGTTGTTGCGATTATTTGTGATTTAATTAGCACCTTCTGTTCCATGAAATAGGCGTCTATCCAACAACAACTTGTCAGGGAATATTCCTGAGACTTTGACTAACATCCAATCATTGCAAGTCCTGTGAGTTTCATACACTTTCATCGCAGTAAGAGGGAGGAGAGAGAGAAAAGTTACTAATTTCTCTGCCATCAGAGCATGCAAATAACATATAGTTTTGCCATGAAATGCAGGGATCTTTCAAATAACAATCTGACAGGGGATATTCCAGTCAATGGATCTTTTTCACGTTTTACTCCCGTCAGGTTTGTTGAACCCACTTTATTTTTTTTCTTTACCTTTTTCCGGCGGTGGCCGTCCCAGCGGACGATCTGAATGATGGATTGGCTGTTATTCTTCATTTTGCAGTTTTGCCAATAATCCTCGTCTGAATCCACTTCCAGCCTCTCCACATCCAGGTTTTTACAACTTATATTGTTCTTGTGATATTAACTCAAATTTGTTTTGAGAACAGTTGAGTATCAGAGTACTATACTACAAAATAAGAATATTATTAAACAAATAAAAATACTAAAATGGCTATAAAATTTTAAGAGACTACATTGTGACACACTTGTTCTAAGGGGAATAACAAGCATCCTATTTATAATAAACTATAACCCTAATCTCTAACAAATCCTAATTTTAACGGTCTGACCTCAAATCCTAAACTTATTACTTTCCGGCTGGCTCTGTTTTGTTTCATAGACACTTGTGATATCGACTTCAGTCCATTGGTAATTAATGTTTTTTCTTGGTGTTTTTCTGTTAAATTTTTTTCATGGTACAACATTATTGTTGGAATCACTGCTGTAAAGATTCTAAGAAGATGCTAGTTAGGAAAGGAATGGATTGAGGATCCGAGGGGATATTCCTAAATTCCTATGAGTGTGAAGAAATGAATTAAAACAATGACATGTGAGAGAGAGTTCATCATATAACATCCGACTTTTAAGGATTTTCATCTCGTTCTGGTTCATGTTGTGCAAATAACCCTTCCTTTTTAACTCTGGTGATTCATATTAGGTGCTGGATTCGGTGAAATAGTGTCCGGATTCCGTATCGGTACGGACATACCATTACTTTAGCGATTCGGTGGTGAATTTAGTGGTTCATCTAATCATCTCTAATAATTTCTACAGAAATTGAGAAAAGTAAACGCACTTATAATTTTTGGAAACAGAGGGGTGAAACAACTGGAATTTTGGGAAGCTCGGTGCTTCTGGTTTTCATCGGGCAGACAGAAGACGAAGAGGGAGAGGAAGAGAGAAAATTTTACTTTCACTTTTTGGATTTAATTCTTTTGATTCGAACGAAATTTGTTGAATTGAGGAAGCAGATCTCTTGCTATCTACAACTCTCCAACAAAACCAATGACTGTGGCTTCCAAGGTTGTTAATTTTCACCTCTTTTTTCGAATTTTCACCAGATAAGTTAATTTCTAGATTTGTTCAATTTGGACTGTTAGAGATTTGCAATGGGGTGGAGAGGTTACATGTCTGTACAAGTGGTGAGATTTTTGTGTTAAAATATTAATGATATAAAAAATAAAAATTTTCACTATTTATATAATAACATGTGGTGCACCACTTATGTTACGGACACAAGAAAAAAAAAATTCAATGGAATAGGTCTATCAACACTCTTTTCTTCTTGTATTAGTGGAGGGACCCATCTGCAGTGTTGATTTTTTTAGAGAAGATGTAAAGAGTCGGTGGCCCATAGCATTTCCCAAATTCCATATTAATTTGAGAATATTTATATTATTCTGATTAGAAAGCTAAGTGAATTAATTGTTTTTGATTTGTAAAATAATTGCTTACAAATAATCAGTTCTATTAAACAAAAATAATTGCTTACAATGAACAATAACTATAAATTATTGTAAAATGTATATGTATTATAAATATTTTTAATTTATATTTTTTAACGAATTGAGAATGAATCGAACCGAATATCATATTGTCTATGTGTACTCTCTAACGAATAGTACCATAGGTTACAACCGAATTACGAACTCGCACCGTGCCACTAATACTGCGGCTATTGCTGGAGGGGTTGTTGCTGGTGCTGCTTTGTTGTTTGCTGCACCTGCAATTGCACTTGCTTATTGGCGACGAAGAAAATCACAGGATAATTTCTTTGATGTACCTGGTTAGTGAACTATAAGAGTAATATAGCTTGATCAAGTTGGTGTTGTAGTTGTTGTATGGGATGCAGGTTTCACTCGTCTACTGTCTTTGCAGCTGAGGAGGATCGAGAAGTTCATTTAGGACAGCTCAAAAGGTATTCTTTGCGCGAGCTACAAGTTGCGACGGGTACCTTTAGCAACAAAAATATTATTGGTAGAGGTGGATTTGGTAAGGTCTATAAAGGATGCTTAGCTGATGGAACTCTGGTTGCTGTAAAAAGACTTAAAGAGGAGAGAACCCAAGGCGGGGAGCTACAGTTTCAAACAGAGGTTAAAATGATTAGCATGGCTGTCCACCGCAATCTGCTTCGTCTGCGTGGTTTTTGCATTACACCAACAGAAAGGCTGCTTGTATATCCGTATATGGCTAATGGAAGTGTGGCATCATGTTTAAGAGGTACTCATCTAAATTGTTTGCTGCATTAATAAATCTTTTTGTTTTCACAGCATTAATTCTTTTTTTGTTTTTTTTGGATTACATTGATAAAATAAATTTAAAAACCCAACTAATTTGGTTTGGAGTATCAACGCTGATTTTTTTTAATATTTTTTTTTCTTCAATTTTAAGTGACCTTCTCGATGCTGATATTATTTCTATTTAATTCGAAGAGGATGACAAGATGACCTTTTTTTGGGTAGGACGGGTGGCATGATATGCGTTAGAGCACACTACCTGATGCTTATAATTTGAAATTCTCCTAAGTATGTGGATATATTATTGTAGAACGTCCAGAAGGACAACCTGCACTTGATTGGCCAATAAGACAACGCATTGCATTGGGATCTGCAAGAGGCCTTGCTTATCTACATGATCACTGTGATCCAAAAATTATTCACCGTGATGTGAAAGCTGCAAACATATTGTTGGATGAGGAATTCGAAGCAGTTGTTGGAGACTTTGGGTTGGCTAAACTCATGGACTACGAGGATACACATGTTACCACACCTGTATGTGGCACAATTGGTCACATGGCACCTGAGCACTTTTCAACTGGAGTGTCTTCCGAGAAAACTGATGTTTTTGGATACGGAGTCATGCTTCTTGAACTCATCACTGGGCAGAAGGCTTTCAATCCGCGGCTTGCGAGTGATGATGATTTCATGTTAGTTGATTGGGTATGCATTTACGTCTTTCTGTTTGTGTATGTAGCTAGTTTATTGTTATATGCAAGATTTATTTCCCAACAACATTTGCATTTCCTTAGTAATTAGCTTTTAGAAAATAATAGAGTTATGATTAGTTGTGAAGATTTGTTTATCTTTATTTATAACAATCTGAGTTTAAACTGTCAGAGATTAGTTATTGCATTTCCTTAGTAATTGTTACTATTATTGTTGCTTCTTTTGCCAGTGTATTGGCATTATGTGATTTCCTCATCATCTCCTTATTCTCACTATCTTGGCCTCTCACTTTTTCCTATTCTCTCTATTGCATCTTTGTCTTCTCTTTGCATGATATCAATATTTGAATGATGATACATTTTTGTAAGCAGTTTGATTTTTTGGACAAAACTGCGGGCCTTCAAATTTTGAACATTACAACACATTTTTGCTCTCCTAGGTTCCCGCACCTTTTGTTTCAAATTGTAGAACCACCTGATATTTTTTGTTTTATTTTTCCTAAAAAAATTAGGTCAAACGACTACTGAAAGATCGGAGGTTGGAAAGACTTGTTGATGCTGATCTAAATGGCAATTATATTGATGATCAAGTGGAGCAACTAATCCAAGTAGCTCAACTGTGCACACAAGGCTCCCCAAGGAAACGGCCCAAGATGTCAAAGGTTGTCCGAATGCTTGAAAGCCAAGGTGAAGGCAAAGGTTTGACTAAAAGATGGGGGACTAGGATTCTCTCCCCTCCTCTTTCCATCCCCTTCCATCCTCTCCTCTCACATTCTTTATTTTGTCTTTCTCTTTTTATAAAAAATTAATATAAGATGTTGATATGGCTTAACCGTGACCATTCAAATAGGAATAGAGGGAAGAGGAGGGAAAAAAAGAGGGGAGAGAATCCTACTCCAAAGATGGGAGGAGTGGCAAAAAGAGGAGGTGATCCGCCAAGATTTCAACACTATTCATCATCCAAGTACTTGGATCATAGACTTTCTCCTAATTTTGTGTTGTACTATTTCTGTGAGTTTGAAGAAATGGATAAAAACAATGACATGTGATAGAGAGTTCATATAAATTCTGACTTTAAGGATTTTTCATTTAGTTCTGGTTCATGTTGCGTAAATAATCCTTCATTTTTAACTCTGGTGATTCATATTAGGTACCACTGCTACTGGGGCTATTGCTGGAGGGGTTGCTGCTGGTGCTGTTGAACTTAATTATATACTTCATTCAGAGATCAAGAACAACCCTGCATGATGAACTACAAACTAATATACACGCATGCATTTATACTAGTCATAATATTCATTAAATCATCATTTTGCAGAAACTAGGGATGCACTTACTTGTTGTCGTAGACGAGATGATTGAGATGAGATTTTGACCTTCCTTTCTCTTGGAAACAGAATGGAACTCTTACCCTAGATAGGGCGAGCATTCACATTATGAGAACCCTGTAACTTACCCGAGAAAGGGGATCAAAACATGACTTATAAGACGCAACTGCTCCACCTATCATGGTAGCAGTTGCTGTCAGTTTTCTTCAAGTTTTGTAACTGTCTTCCATCCATAATTTGTACAAGTAATATGGTTTTCTCACTTTATATTAAATGTGTACTTAATGTATATAACGTATAATATAACCATATTTCCTTTATTAAATGGTTTGGACCATTTCTCACACAAAAGTTCTTACATTCTCCCACATGAGAATGGTCATAACCATTTACAACATGGCGTCCAACGACTAGTACGTGATCATTGAAATATGATTATCAAAAGAAACCTTTCATTCATACTCAAAGATTCATTAGTTGAATTCTAGACAATATAATACAGCAATAGTATCATTTGTGCTAAAACCACAAACTAATCAAATCCAAATGGGACTATATTTAGAGAAAACTCAAATGAGAAGACCTTCAATTGCAAGCATGACTCCCACATTGCTTGACATAACAATAATGACACTGCAGATGTGATCCTTTATACTTTATTTATGCAAAATGCAAACATGAACATGTATCCGATTAGTCTTGAGCTTTTCCAAAAGAATTACATCGTCATGTAATACAAGTGAACATTATAAGCACAATTTCTAATCAAAACACATACTTAAGACAATGGAAAATTACTTTACTCCCACATTCAAACATGATCTATAATTGTTTGTATTCCTATATTTGGCAAAATGCCTTTGAAATGCTGTTACATGTAGGGGGCGTTTGTTGCGCCGGACTATCTCGGACTGGATTAGCTTCAAGGATTAAGCTGGACTGTCTTAGACTAGACTAAACCGGACTAACTTAGTGAAGCGTTTGGTGCAGTATTGGACTAAGAAGCTGGATAATAACAAATTCTAATATTATATTATTTAATATATAAATTATTAATATTTTATTATGATCTTATCTTTTTCTTCATCTTTTCCTACCATTTCCGTCCCACTCTTTTCCTCTTCTCTCATCGTCCCACCCTCTCCCTCTTTTTTTCCTCTTAGACCTCTCAATTCATGTCTCTTTCTCATTCCTGGTCAAACTCCTTATTGATTCCAGTGTCTATTTCTCTATCCTCCCTCCCTCTCTAGCTATGTGTTGTTCGAATGGAACCTCACGGCTCCAATTTTCCCGACGAGTTGCAGGTTTCCCAATGTGTTTTCCGGCCAACCCTCGTTAAATTGGATGAAGTTAGCACCGCCAAAAAATTCATCACCATCCCTAGACCGAGATATTAGCTTTGAATGCTCGAATCTGTCATGGATTTGAAGAAGCCCAAACAGGCCGAGACTTCCAAGTCATTTTCCGGCCACATTCGACCACATTTTGGCCTTTATTCAGGTAAAATTGTAATCTTGTCACTCCCAGCTTCAATTTGGTATATTTTATATGAAAGTTGGTTGTGAAATGGATCTGAAAGGGAGTCGGAAAGTTAATGATTGATCTAGGTGACTGGAGATGACGAGGAGTCTGTCGAGAGTGGTCGTTGAGTATGACAAGGACAAGAAAGAGAGGGTAGTCTTAGCTAGTCCCATGGTTATTGGGGGGTCTCGCTAAGACCTCTTAGTGAAGGGTTTTGTCAATGCTAGTCCCTTTTAGTCTCATTAAAGTTAGTCACAGCATGGAACAAACACAGTATTGGACTAATAGCTAATCCAGTCCAGTCCAGTCCAACTTAGTGAGGGCAAACAAACGCCCCCGTAATGCTTTTGCCAATGGATTTGCAACCATGTGATAACTACCAATATGCTCCAGATCAATAGTTCCTTTTTTGTTTTCATCTCGGAGCTTCAAATACTTAATTACTATGAGTTTTGAAGCTTCTTACCTTCTGTTATTGAGGTATTGTCACAAAAATCTTAATTGGTCTTTCAACACTTTTCACTATCTTCATGTCATAGATAAGGTTTCTTAACTACTCACCTTGCCTCATTGCTTCAAAAACAACCTATATACTCTAGTGGCTTGTTTTCTACTTCTCCATGAGACTACACCACCAACTAATATGAAAACATACCCAATTCTGCATCACAATAACAAATCACTTCCAAATTCTCAACTTGATGAAAACCTAGGACAGAAGCTTGTGTCTTCTTTAAGTATCTAAATACCTTTTTACTTGCTTTCCAATGTGCAATGCCAAGATTTGATTGAAATCTACCTAACACACTCAGTGCAAAAGCCAAAAGGCCAAAACCGGTCTAGTGCAAACCATACATACATCACACTCAGCTTTGGCAATGGGAACATCACCCCCACTGCAATATAATTCTTTTCATTCTATCACTTACAACTTCAATGCCTAATACATAATAAGCTTCACCCAAACCCTTCATGACAAAGCTATTGGACAACATTTGCTTGGTCTCATTTAACAATTGGACATTAGAGCTTGCCAACAATATATCATCGACATATAGAACCATAAATCTAAATTGGAGCTTGTTTTAAACCATAAATGAACTTGTTGAGTTTGCATACCTGATTCTCCTTCCCCCTTTCAACAAATCATGGTGGTTGCTTCACATAAATGTCCTCGTCAAGACTTCTCTTTGTGTAAATCCTTTAGGCACAAGCCTTGCCTTTAATCTTTCAACTTTACCTTGTGCATTAAACCATAAAGGCTTCTTTCTTCCCTTTGAGATAAAACATTTCACATAGTGTATTCAAAAGTTGTCATCACAATCTATGAACTCAGCGTGCAGAACCTTCGGGTTCATCATATTCCGGTTCTTACCAAGTCGAGTAATTCTTAATGGAGAGAAACAGATGGGATCAACTTCACTAAACTTATGTGGGAGAAGAAAGATCAGAGTAGTAGGCTTCTAATCTGTTAATTTTGAAGCAGAAAATCCACCCAAAAATGAGTTGGATCCCTTCCCTTCTCGCTTACCGTCCAACTCTTGGTTTCTAAGCACATTACTTCCCCAAGCATCCAGGAAAGAAGATCTGTCATACGTCATGGATGGAATAATAGAATTATGTGAACCAGGTATGTTAGAATATACCCTTTGGTGACCTATATCACAAGCATCCAACATGCCTAGCCTTAGGTGCTGAATATGTGAAAGTAACTTCTCATTTTCATAATACATGTCCGGTAGATATATATACACCAGCTGAAATCACTTATATACACCACAATCAACAACATCTATTAGGGAGGTATGTAAAGCAGCAATCAACCTTGTAAACATTCTCCTACCAGAATAATCACCATGTTGCAAAACTCGTTTGTAATCAACTCCAAATTTAGTACTGTGTTTCTCAGAACCTAGAGACAATGCTCCTTCCTTATGAAAATCCAACTGAGGGTTGAGTGCTAAAGTCTGTGAAATACCTAAATGTGCAGCATACTGACCGGACATTACTCCATAGAAAACAACTAAGCCAGATGCATTTAGACAAATAAGAAGGTTATCAGAAAACTGGAAATCTATTCATTGTATCACTGAGCCAATATTTGGACATTCGTCAAGCTTCACTGAGGAAACACATTGAATTACCCACCTATCTGATCTAGCAACCAGAAGTACATTATTTTTCTTAGTATTTTCACTTTCATCACTAGTATTCAAAGTTATAGGATCAACCTGTGCGAAAACAAATCCAATAAAGCAATGTGAATTGCTTGAAAGCACCCTGGAGCAGCAATTGTATAAACAGTTCATTCCAAAACCAAAAATATTCAACAAAATTTCAGATTTGAAATGCGGACAGGATGAAGTCAAATGTGTATTTATAGACTTATCACTCTCTGACTCATGAACTCTTTCCTGCCTGCACTCCATAAACGGTAAATTACTATAAAGCAAACCAAATGAAATAACTTTCGCAGAGCAAGGAAACAATGACTTTTCAGGAGATTTGGTCAATACATTACCATTGTATTCAACAATTTCAACTTTTGTCAGAAAAGATTGCCAACTATTTCTTAGAAGCAACTCACTTTGGCAACTTGTCGTTCCCGGGCACATTTCACTTGTTATGAGGAGTGTCACTGTCTCCATTAGATATGTTTAAATCAATATTTCCAGTGGCTTTAACACTCAAACTGGTTGGTTCCTCCACCACCATATTTTCAACTAAGGAACCTTAATCTGCTTTTGACGCCATGAAGATCACTGCAGCAATACAACTTTCTTCTCTCTTGTGTGATCGAAAATATTACCAAACTCTCAATGGGACGAGTTTATGTATAAATCTGAAATGGTAAAACACACCGCCCCTGCACATACTCACCATGCAGTGCATTCCTATCAACATCAGTGTTTTTTGGTGGATTCAACAAAAACATGTACCACACCAGACCTTGTTTGCTAGATACAAACAAAATTTCACTTAATAAAGCATCCTTGTGCTGATCATAATTATGCCCACACACACCCCAATTGGTTTGATGTCATGAGATCCTACAACCAAGGACCAAACATTGTTCTTTGCCACGTATTCCTTAGCCAAATCACAAATTGAAATT